TCTTTCAAAATAAAATAAATAAAAACTATGTTTTTGTATATATTAAAGTAATAATTAGCATAATTAAGGAAACATATTAATACTTTGAAAACACACGTGTATATATTTACCCTTTTTCGCCGGTACGAGAGATTTGCAGAAAAATAAGTATGTCAATAATCAGGAGTCTGGTGTTTATGTTGAAATAATATATTGGGTTTTTTTTTCTTAATATATGGTTTTTATCATGAATATTATGATATCAATATATAAAAGTAGGGTTGTAAATGAACACAAACCAGAGTTGTTCATGTTCGCTTGTTTAAGTTAGCTAAACAAACGAACGAACGAACATGAACAAATAAAAAAACAAATTTTCTTGTTCATGTTTGTTCTTTTAAAAAATTACATTATTCATGTTTATTCGTTTATGTTAGTGAACATTTTAAACAAACATAAACGAATGAAGATAAACAAACATAATTAAACATATAATATAGTAATGTAATCAAACACAATTGAACATATATGAACATAAAAGGAACTAAAATGATCGAACATAAACGAAAAAGTACACGAACAACATAAACGAACGTTTATGAACAGAATTGAATGAAAGAGACCAATGTTTATGTTCGTTCATTTAACTAAATGAACAAGAGCTTGTTTTCATGTCCGCTCATTTATTAAATAAAAAACATAAACGAACTTTATGTCTAATGATTCACGAACAGTTTGTTGAACGTTGATTAATTTACAACCCTATATAAAAAGCATATATTCTACAAATGTATATATGCTGCAAAAAACATATGTGGCTTACATGTGTATGTGTTTTTTCTTAATTATGTAGTTGCCATTTAATATCAATTTTAAATTTAAATAGAGATAAAATAGTGGTTTCCACACTTTATTCGCTCCAAAAAAATGAAAAACAAATTATGCATACAAATACAATATTTAAGCTGTTTGACTGGATCTGAATTTTTAAGATATAGATTTTTACGAGGTTTGAGTTTTTTAAAAGCTTTGAATTTTTTAAATCTTAATTTTTAACATGTTGTTTAGTTCGAATCTATGAATTATTATGATTAATGATAAAAATGACAATTTTACGTTTTATATTATATTCTGATGAACTAAATGTTTATGTTTTATAAAATAATTCAATCAACTTCTTGAATAATTATAAAAAATATATATAAAACTTCATGCAAAATCCATAACACATAACTCCGAATTAAACACAAATCCAAACAAAAAATAATATTTCAAATTCACGAAACATATTAAAATCCTACAAATTTAATATGAAGCATCTTAAAATAACTAATTCGCAATCTGATCACGCAAATTGATCAGTGTATTTATCAACTATATAAAAAATGAGTCGACATTAATATATAAATTTGCACCAACCACAAAATATGGTTTACATAAATAATCACCATACATCAAATGCATGTACGGAAGTTACTAAATATTTGTCAATGTTGTATAAAGATGCCTAGATTGAATGATATGAAAGTATAAAAGCATCCATTCTACAATTATGTAATATATGTTGCAACAATAAACAGGGCTTACATGTGTATGTGTTTTTTCTTAATTATATAGTTATTTGTCATTAAATATTATTTTTAAATAGAGATAAAATAAATGGTTTCCACATTTTATTCGGTCCCAAAAAATGAAAAAGAAAGTTTCCATGCACACAAATACAACATTTAGAGACTATTTGACAGAATAATTTTTGACATGCTTAGTTACACCTAAATAATAAAAATAACTATTTTAACATCATGTTTTTTTTTTAAACGGCAAACTAACTAATCTATTCTTATTATGTTTCTTTTTTTTTGATAAACTAGATGTTTATGTTTCATAAAATAACTGAAACAACTTCTTGAATAATTATAAAAAGATATAAAACACCAAACCATACACAAATCCAAATCAAACATATATATATATATATATATATATATATATATATATATATATATATATATATATATATATATATATATATATATATATATATATATATTTCAAATCTACAACAATATACTAACATCCAAATAAGTCCTATAAATTTAATTTGAAGTATCTGAAAATAAATGATTCGCAAATTGATATTATATTCATCAATCATATAAATAAACGAGTCGACATTAATATATATGTTTGCACCTACCATAAAATGCAGTTTACATAAACAATCACTCATAAAATGCATGTACTAAAGTCCTTATATCTATGTCAATGTTGCATAAAGATGCCAAATATTCTCCTTATCTACTCTACTACAACAAGACGAACTTCCATATTATACAAAAGCTAGATAAAGTAGTTGCTTTCTCAAAGCAAACTATAGCTAAAATAAGTTGCTATTTATGAAGATTCAATCTTTGTATATTTGTAAGTTGCTAATCTCTAAGTTGCTATTTATGAATATTGTATATATGTTGTCAAAAGAATATGTAATCTTCACTTTACTAAATATCTATGTTTTAATAAAGTAATAATAAATAAAATAGTACGGAAATAAATATTTTAAATGATATTATTATCATATTGTGTACAAAAAGGGAAAAAAAATCATAGAAAATAGATAATATTTAACCAAAAAGTAACTACCAAAATCCAAATTTTAAAACTACAAGGGGCAATAATGAATTTTAGTAAAAAATGGTTAAAGGGTTTCTTTACTTTAGGTTGCGTCTGACCGAGTGACTCCGTCAGTTAAAGTTGTTTTGTAAAATAATTTTGAGCGTCTGATTTTGAAAACGAAATTTGACTCGGTAAGAAAACGAAAATTGGCTGAATGGGAAAGGGAAAAACATCTTCCAATTGTGTCATTGCACTACAAATAGATACACCCACGATTGTTTGTTGTATATCTATGTTGCTTTGTTGTTGCAATACATGAGACTGTGGTTTGATGAAGGTGAGTTTAGGAAGAGACGATCGTCTGATTGTTACAAGAAAATAGATAAGTAGAACTAGAAGATCATATAGGTTAAACTAGTCTTTGGGCCTAGGATTGGTTGTGTCTTTTTTGTTTCAAGTGTGAATGGTAAATTTTTATACTGACACATGTAGGGCTGTAAACGAACCAAACGAACACGAACAAGGTATTGTTCATGTTCGTTCGTTTAAGTTAGCCGAACAAGAAACGAACACGAACGGATAAACGAACGAGATTTTCTTGTTCATGTTCGTTCGTTTAACAAATTACTTTGTTTATGTTTGTGAACATGCTAAACGAACATAAACGAACAAACATAAACGAACAAAGATAAAAAAACACAATTAAACATATATGAACATAAACGAACATATAATATAGCAATATAATAAAAAATAATTGAATATAGATGAATATAAATAAACTTAAACGAACGAACATAAACGAACGTAAATGAACATCGTAAACGAACGTTCACGAACATAAATGAACGAACGAGGCCATTGTTCACGTTCATTCATTTAACTAAACGAACGATAATTTTTGTTTATGTTCGTTCATTTATTAAATAAACGAACATAAACGAACTTCCCGCCAAACAGTTCACGAACGGTTCGTCGAACGTTCAGTTCGTTTACAACCCTAGACATATGAGATATAAACGTTTTTTCTTAAATATTAAAATTGAAAATAGTTATAGAGCGTATTTTAAAAAAATACCTTATGGTGGTTTATTCTTATGTTTTAAAGTATCATATGTTTTATTTATTTTTTTCCAATAAATTAGACTATAATAAACAAAATATTATAACTACATGCATATAAAACTAAATAATTAATGACAGTTTTTTTAAGGTAACATTTTGTTTTTAATTTTTAAACATGGTAAACTCTCTAAGATATATAATTGCATTATTATAAAAAAATTGTATATTAGATAAGATCTTATGATTCCGATTCGATTTCACGATTGTGATTTGACAAAATAGAAAATGATTCTAGTAAAATCTCGATCTTAACAACCTGTATATTACATTAAATTTATATCCTAATATATGTATCCTATTACATTTTATAAGACAATTTTTATTTGGGTTTTAAATGATTTTTATGTAATTTATATTTTGTATGACAATTTGTATGTTTTTATGATAATAGATTAGGGGTGAGCGCGGTACGGTTCGATGCGATTATTAGCTTAAATCTCACCACTAACCGCAAATGCGGTTAATCCATTTTTAAAACCGTTTGGTGCGGTTATTTTTGCGGTACGGTTAGACAGTTATTTTTGCGGTGTGGTTTTGTTTTTTTTCCGAGTTGCGGTTATTAACCGCATGGATTTGGTGCAATTATTTTGTGTGGTTTTTAATCATAGTTTAGATGTCAAAAGGTTTTAAGAGTTCAAACATATTATTTATAATAATAAAAAAAAAACATAATATATAAAACAATTAACTTAAATCACAAACAATTAATATCTTAAAAACACCAAATTAATAGTAATTAACAATAATTTTCTTAAAATTGTTTAATTTCACCATTTTTCAAAGTTAAACATAACAAAAAAACCATACTTTTGTCTTCTAGTATTTTATTCATCTTTTATTTATGAAACTTGTCTTATTTTTAATATTTAATATATTAACAATTAATAAAAAAAGTTGTATATAATAAATGCGTGCGGTGTGGTTTTTTTGCGGTTTTTAAAAACTAATAACCGCACCGCACCGCAAATTTGCGGTTTTTGAAAAACAGAAAACCTCACCATCGGTTTCTATTGCGGTTGCGGTTTATCGGTTGCGGTTTTTGCGGTTTTTACGGTTAATTTTAGTTGCGGTGTGGTTTTTACTCACCCCTATCATAGACAGAGCTTGCTTAGGGCAAGGGGGGCTATGGCCCCTCTTGATTTTTTTTGTCATAAATAGCCTTTATTCTTTAGATTTTATACATATTTAGTCTAAAAATATAAAATTAATGTTGTGGCCCCTTGCTCTTCGATTTTCATATATATTATACTTTCGGCCGTCCAAAAAAAATATCCAAATTCCATCACTGTTTATGATCATTCAGTAACTTGACCTATTATATAGTATACCAGAGTAAAATGGTTATTTTTCATTGGTTACAATCAAATATATAGTTTCTTATTTCATCATAATTTATTACCAAAACATAAAGTCAACACTTTCTTATCACTTTCTTGATCAACACTATCAAACGAGACCTTAGTTTCAGAACCACACAGTGTCCACACCACATTGAGCTCGTTAATTGTTTTCCTCATATGACTGCTTGTCTTCTAACACCGACGACGACACTATCTCTCTTCAGCCACCTTAAGGTAACTATCCTCTCCCTATGTGCATAGAAAACCATCAAAAATTACCTGAAGGCTGTTGTGACGAGATTGATGGAACTAGAGGGCACCGATGGCGACGCCTGACGGAGGCAGAGGGTGGAGGTAGCGAGAGTGTGCTCGGAGGGAAAATGGGCCGGCGTATGTAATAGAAAAGAGATCTTAATTTCTAATAAATGGGCCGAATGCCCGAATAAAAAAACTGGGCCGTTTGTCATCCCAATAGAATAACCAGTTGTTTGATTGTTTGTTTATTATTACAGTTGCTACTTCCGCAGTCCTCTCAGAACCCTAGATTTTGGTGTCTACTCCGACCGGCGACTGAGAGAGAGAAAGAGATAGACATGTCAATGGAGAATCCTCCAGCGAAAGAAGTTGAATCTTTATCGCTGACCGCGAGTGATGGTTTGAATCCGTCGAATTCTACCACAGAGTAAGTCTCATCTCTAATTTACACACTGAAGGTGATTTATGTTATATATTGGACTTTCAAGTGCGTTAAAACTCAGTTTTCATGGATTATGACTAAATTCGACCTAATACAGTGAATTTTTTTCTACACTTTTGGAGTTTCGGTGCAATGAACAATAACTTGTACTGGATTCTTCTCCATGCACCCCAAGAGAACTGATCGTTGTTATGATTAATAACATCAGCGTAATGATTAGTGCCTTAGGTGTTTTAGTACTTGATACAAACTTATTTACCATCAAAAAGCTATGCATCGTTAAAGGTCATATGATTAGCAAAATCAGCATTGTTTTTAAGTGATCGTAGTTTATTAGAATCTCTTTATTGCCAATCATGTGTTTACGTATTTAAGGTCAAATGTAATCCAGTTGAATAAGTTTTATATTCAATGTTTAGGATGAGCGTTGAAGAAAAATTTAGGATTGTGAGGAGCATTGGTGAAGAATGTATCCAGGAGGAAGAACTCCTGAATCTTCTTACCAAAAAGCCCCAACCAATCTGCTATGATGGGTTTGAACCCTCTGGAAGAATGCATATTGCTCAGGTATGTCATCAGAAACGTCACTGGATTTGTTTATCCTTTTGAACACATTACTATTGAGATTACAAAAAACAATATAAAGAAGGTTTGTTTAAGCTTCTCAATAAACTCATGCTCTATATTTCTTCCCTAACAGGGTGTTATGAAGACAATTAATGTTAATAAACTCACTTCTGCTGGTTGCAAAGTAAAGATTTGGATAGCCGATTGGTTTGCTCAATTAAACAACAAAATGGGTGGAGATTTAAACAAAATCCAAACAGTTGGACACTACTTAATTGAGATCTGGAAAGCTGCAGGAATGAATTTAGAAGATGGTAAAGTCGAGTTTATTTGGTCTTCTGAAGAAATTAATTCAAGAGCATATGAATACTGGCCAATAGTCATGGACATTGCTAGAAGAAACAAACTTCCTAGAATAATGAGGTAGAATAATTTTAAATTTTTTAATTTATATAATTATATTATATCCTAGTTTTATTATCTCAATGGTTGTAGGTGTTGTCAGATTATGGGTCGAAGTGAGCAGGATGAATTGACTGCAGCCCAAATCTTCTACCCATGCATGCAATGCGCCGATATATTTTTCCTCAAGGTTCTTTTTTAATTAATCTTTTTTCAAAAGGTAAAATAGTCATTTTATAGTTTAAGATTTCAATAAGGTATTAAAAAAAATATATGTTCATTTGAATAGGCTGATATCTGTCAACTAGGCATGGATCAACGAAAAGTGAATGTTCTTGCTAGGGAGTATTGTGATGACATCAAAAGAAAAAACAAGCCAATCATTTTATCTCATCGTAAGGGCAAAGTTGTAAATTTGACATTTTTCCAGTTTAACCTTTTTACTTTAATATGACATTTGTTTGTTGCTTTTACTATGAAGATATGCTTCCTGGTTTGTTACAAGGTCAAGAAAAGATGTCAAAATCTGATTCTTCTTCTGCTATTTTTATGGAGGATGAAGAGGTAAAATCTCCCCATTTTGTATATATATATATATATATATATATATATATATATATATATATATATATATATATATATATATATTTTATGTTATAATTTTAATTTGTATGAATGATGAATTTGTAACAGGCTGAGGTTAATTTAAAGATAAAAAAAGCATATTGTCCACCCAATATTGTTGATGGGAATCCATGTCTTGAGTACATTAAATACATTGTATTCCCTTGGTTTAATGAGTTCAAGGTTGAAAGGAAAGAGGAAAACGGAGGTGAAAAGTGAGTTTTTTTTTTCTCTTTTAAATTTGATTGTATATTATTTATATTGGTATTTGATTGATGATATTTTTCTTGAACAAAATCAGGGTTTATACCAGTTATGAAGAATTAATTGCTGCTTATGAAAAAGGGGAGTTGCATCCTGCTGATTTGAAACCTGCACTATCCAAATCTTTGAATAGGATCTTGCAGGTATTATATTTATATATTTATTACTTAATCAGGAGGGCATTTTAGTCTTTTGCACTGACATGAGTTGTGTGTGTGTGTGGTGTAGCCTGTGCGTGACCATTTCAAGAATGATGAGAAGGCCAAGGCTCTATTGAAGAGGGTTAAGGTATGCTTTGTTCTGTTTTTCATGCTAAAATTAATAATGTATAGAGTATTTCTTAATTTGTTTTAATTAAAAAAAATAATTATTATTGTGATATTAATATTTTTTGTGGTTCGATGCAATGCAGGCTTTCAAAGTTACAAGATGATGGAAGTATTATAGTCGATGGGAAGATGGGAGTTGATTCATATTTTTGTTTCATTGTATTTAAATGAATTTAGATTGATTGATCGAATTTTCTTGCACATATTTATGCAATTTTATATTATATTTCGCATGAACTACTACTTAATTACTTTTTGGAATAATGAACACAGTTGGGTTTTAATTATGTGGGAGGAATAGCAGTATCCTTCGCGATTTCTTAAGAAAGTCATTACTTAGAAATTTCAAAACATTTTCAGTTCATATTTGATGTGGGTTTTCGTAAATTTCGAAATTTTAATTTGGGTTTGCTGTGGGAAAAAATAGATGGTTGTCGGAAATACTTTTTAGATTAATTTAATTTTTTTTTTTTTTTTAATAAAACTCCTCGAAAAATAGTTTTACTATCTTTTAGTAATTAAGTTTTAATATACCACTGTTAGTTAGAAATACTATCCCCTTCGAACAGTATTTGTTTGTGTTTTTAATTAGGGATGAGCAAAAGAACCGAACCGGTCGAAACCGGCCCGAACCGAACCGGACCGGGGAACCGGCTTCGGCCAAAATGAAGAACCGAACCGGCCCGGCGGTTCTTCCGGTTCCGGTTATACCGGTTCCGGTTTTTGCCGGTTTTTCGAGTTTGGAACCGGCTAAATTTTGATGTATCCAACGATTAAATTACTTTGCGTTTTATTGGTTTTTCGGGTCCGATTTTTGCCGGTTTTTCGAGTAATTCCAACGATTAATTTACTTTGCGTTTTATAGATTTTTTATGAAGAAGTGGATGTTTAAATACTAGTACATAATCAACATTTTAATAATAAACATTTTAATAAATGATTCAACGTTCAAGCAAATTAACCATAGATCTTTTATTTAAATTATTACAATCAAATTAAACATGGATGTCGTTAAAGTTATGTTATTAAGTATCCAACATTCAAACATTCAACATTCAAAATACACTTTCGACATTCAAGTTGACATTTTGACTAATTCCAAGTTTCACCATAAAAAAAAAAAAACAAAGTCTAATATGTGGATTCCAACATTTCTTTGACATTTTGACTAATTCCCCGATCTCTTCCCCGTTAGCTTCAAATTGTGTATAGCATCCACAATGTCTATATATAATACAAAAGAAAAATGTTATTACTTACTAAAATGTAACAAATACTAATAAGAAGTTAAAAATAAGATGTAACAAGTATTAGTGTATTACCGATAGCGAGGTCATCGTCAGCTAACACATCGTGCACTTCGTCGTAGTCATATATAGGCAAGCTACTTTTTCTTAGCCAATCTTGAGTGCATATCAATGCCTCCACAATCACAACGGACAAATTAGTACGATAGTCGGTAATTACTCGACGACCATTACTGAATGTGGATTCGGATGCTACGGTGGAAATTTGCATCCCCAAAATATCTATTAATAAACAAATTAGTGTATAATACACGACACAAATTTATAATTTAAAATTTTAAATTAGAGTAAAAGAAGGTCGATACCTCTTGCCATTCGAGCAACGATCGGGAACCGCACCGCATTATTTTTCCACTTCCTTTGTCAAATCCGATTGGGTCCTCATTTAAGTATCGTTGCAATTGACTTCCTGACGAAGTCGAGGGGAAACTTCCCGAAGTCATATAGCTTCCAAAGAATTCGTTTTCGTCATCAAAATTAACAACTTCTTCGCGAGTTTCTTGTTGAGACGATGAGGTCATGTTTGACCTTTCCAAGTATGTCTTGAAAAACTTGTCCAATTTGCATTCAATATCAATAACCTTTGCACGTGCTTTGGATTCTATCTCATCAGCGGACATCTTTTTATCTTTGTTCTTGGCTTTAAGCATTTGGGTAAAAACAACTTTCATAAACTTTGAATTGCATTGAGGATCTAACAATGTCGCAAAGAAGACATAATCACTTATAGTATCATAGTCACCCCAATATTTGTCATATTTATCTTTCATATCCGGTACCATAAACATAAAATCCGGGTTGGTTTCATGTTTCCTAAGATGTTGCTCTATATCTAGGATCTCCCGGGTATACGTATGGAAGATAGGCTTTGTTGAACACGAAACTTTTTCAGTTTTCTTCTTAAACTTCTCGAGGAACTCCATCATCTTTTTAATCATCTCAAAATCTGAATGTGATGGTACCCTTCCCACAGTTTTCTGAAACATTGGATCTACAAAAAAAAAAACAACAAAATCAGAATACGTTTTATTGTTGTTAGAAAAAAAAAATCAGATTTGACACCCTTCCTTGCGGGGCTTGTAACTCATTCAATTTTTAACCAAATCAAGCGTTTTTATTGTCTAAATTCAACTACAAATCCTAATCTACATGTAGGAAAAAGATTCAGGTCAAAACAAGTTAAATTGAATGAGTTATGCACATTTGAACAACAAAATAACATCACGTTTTATTGCTGTTAGAAAAAAAAATCAGATTTGACACCCTTTCTTGCGGGGCTTGTAACTCATTCAATTTTTAACCAAATGAAGCGTTTTTATAGTCTAAACTCAACTACAAATCCTAATCTACATGTAGGAAAAAGATTCAGGTCAAAACAAGTTAAATTGAACTAGTTATGCACAATTTAATATTTGGACTGATTGCTAAAGAAATAAATATTGCTAATTTTAGTGCTGAAATATATTTGATTAATTGATTTTATTTACCTTGATGGCTATATTCGAGAAATGCGTCTTTCACATCGTATGCTGATCTTAGCAATTCAAAGGTAGAGTTCCACCTTGTTGGAGTTTCACCACACAAAAACCTTTGACTTTCTACAGCCGCATCTTTCATGGCTTGTTTAAAGGTCTTGATCCGTTGCGGGGAGGCTCTAATGTATTTCACCGCATCTTGTAGGTTTTTTACATGATAAACTTCGTGTTTTAACCCCATTTTCACAACTAGGTTTATGATATGAGCCATACACCGAATGTGAAAATGTTTGCCATTCTCGTAAATACCCGGTAGTTCTTTCACAATGATGTTGATTGCCGCGTCATTTGTCTTGGCATTATCAACGGTCATCGTCATGACATTCTTCATCCCCCACTCGTTTATGCAAATTAGCAACTCCCGGGCCATGTCTTCAGCTTTGTGAGTATCAACCTCTCTAAAGTTGACTACCCTTTTGTGCATGACAAAATCTTCGGTAATGAAGTGGGCCGTGACAACCATATAATTTATCTTTTGACACGAGGATGTCCACGTGTCGGTTGTCAAGTGGATGGCTGTTTTGGGGTTGCTCAAATGTTTGTACAACTTCTGCCTCTCCATTAAATAGAATGACACAACATCACGAGAAATTTTATGCCTTGAAGGCAATTTCACCCTACCATTGAGGGCGTTCATAAATTCTATGAATGGCTCGTTTTCAATAGTAATATAAATGGTAGTTCGCCGATGGTGAAAAGGCCTAGCAAGGCAAGTTGGATCATAGTATCATCATGTTTCCATGTGTATACCTGACCCTCACCATTAGGAGCTTTCGTAAATGACAACTTTTGTTGTTTGTCAACAACTTCTTTCGGTATGTTGTCTGGATTTAACTTGCACCCATTAAAATGCTTATTTATTGAAGTTGTCCAATTCCGGTTTGGATCCGCGGCTAGTAAATGTAAACAATAATTACATTCGGCCCACTTTCTTTCAATTCCATCGTCCTCCTTTATCCATTCTATCTCGAAGTATTTCCAAACAGGAGCGGTACAATTATCTCTACCCTCACCTCGTCTAGTTGGGTTAATCTGGTCCCTTAACTCTTTTTGAGTCTTTTTTTGTTTTTGGTTTTGATTTTGTTGGGTATTTTTCTTGTGTTCGTTTTTGTGGTGGTGGTGGTTTTTTTGGTTGTCTTCGTTTTTGTGGGGTTGCAAATTTTCGTTTTTTTGAAGGTTGTTGTTCTTGTGGCTCCTCTTCTTGGTTTGATTCATCACTTGGTATGACATTCCATGCCGGTGTTTCTTCTATATAATCTTCTTCTCAATCTTCTCCATAATCCTATATTCTCAAAAGAAAACATATAATAAGTCATATTATGTTTAAATGCTGAAAAATAAATAAAAAAAAAATCAGATTTGACACCCTTTCTTCCGGAGCTTGTAAGTCATTCAAATTTTAACCAAATCAAGCGTTTTTATAGTCTAAATTCAACTACAAATCCTAATCTACTTGTAGGAAAAAGATTCAGGTCTAAACAAGTTAAATTGAATGAGTTATGTACAATTGAACAACAAAATCAGATCACGTTTTATTGTTGTTAAAAAAAAAAAAATCAGATTTGACACCCTTCCTTGCGGGGCTTGTAACTCACTCAATTTTTAACCAAACTAAGCGTTTTTATAGTCTAAACTCAACTACAAATCCTAATCTACATGTAGAAAAAAGATTCAGGTAAAAAAAAGTTAAATTGAATGAGTTATGCACAATTGAACAACAAAATCACATCACGTTTTATTGCTGTTAGAAAAAATAAATCAGATTTGACACCCTTCCTTGCGGGGCTTGTAACTCATTCAATTTTTAACCAAATCAAGCGTTTTTATAGTCTAAAATCAACTCAAATCCTAATCTACATGTAGGAAAAAGATTCAGGTCAAAAAAAGTTAAATTGAATGAGTTATGCACAATTGAACAACAAAATCAGATCACGTTTTATTGCTGTTAGAAAAAAAAAATCATATTTGACACCCTTACTTGCGGGGCTTGTAACTCATTCAATTTTTAACCAAATTAAGCGTTTTTATAGTCTAAACTCAACTACAAATCCTAATCTATATGTAGGAAAAAGATTCAGGTCAAAACAAGTTAAATTGAATGAGTTATCAACAATTCAAAATTTGGACAGATTGCTAAAAAAGTAAATATTGCTAATGAGCTAAATGCTAATCTTACTTGATCATCAAAGTCTTTTCCAATCCAATTAGCCGGATTAACATCTTCAATATTGGCATCATGGACATCCGAGTTTCGGTATCTTGATGATGGTACATTTGGTAACCCATCTAAATCCTACATTTCAATTTTACACATTAATTATATAACAAAAGTACTAAACAAATTTGTAGTTTTGACAATCTTACATAATTACATTCATACTATAAACAATAAACTAATCTAACAAACATCTTGCATGTATGTCTACAAAGTACATTGTTAAATGGAGCTTAAAACATGAAACATATATTATATGTACAACCTTTCATCCGTAAAGGAGTACTCCACTATGAGAGTATGATAAAAAAATCAAGATCTTTTAATTAACTAGGGATAACAATGCATATATTTGGAATGGATACAACAAAAGCAATGAAAAAAGCTTTCATGCATGCCATTATTTGGAGAATCATTGAAGCAAATATTGAAATATATAATCTTAAAACATGAAATATAAATATATGCTCTTACTTGATCTTCATGGACATCCATAGTTTGAATCATTGAAGCAATTGAAGATGAAAATCAATGAAGAATTGAAGGATGATAAAGAATTGAAGATTGGTTTAAAAGTGGAGATGGAAGCTTGTAATCGATGGAAACTTGGAGATGAAGAATTGATTCAATTGAATGATGATGAATGAAGAGATGTCGATTGCCAATTGATGAAGATGATAGCGAGTAGGGTTCGGCTGTTGGGGAGTTGGGATTGTGGCCGAGTGCGCTTTTTTTTGTGTTACGTGACAGATCGCGAGTTGCGACTAGATGCTTGCCAAGGAGAAGTCCAATCGACAGCAACGTGATATGGGGTTTTCTAGCCGGGCCGGTTCCCGGTTTTGGGCCGATTCCAATAGCCGGTTCTTTCCGGGTCCCGGTTCCAAATAATCACAAATTTATAGTATAGGTCCCGGCCCGACCGGTTCCATCGGGTGCCGATTCCGGGACCGGTTCCGGTTCCGGGACCGGTTCCGGCCGGTTCCCCGGTCCTTTTGCTCATCCCTATTTTTAGTTATATAAACTAGTATACGACAAATACAACCTTTTAGTTTTTTTATAATCTAAGTTGTAGTTTATTTATGCAAGTTGATAATTGCAAATATGATAACCAAGTTTGGTTTTTAAACTATTATAAAACAAAACCTAAAACAAGTAAACCTGTTTTAAGCATAGAACATACTTATTAGGTGACTCGTCTAGTAACTTACTAAAAAAGTAAAGTTCAAATAGAAATTTTTTAACTTTATTGTTCTAAATAGAAAATAATGAAAGTTTTGTATTTTTCCTTAGAGACAAAACAGCCTGTTACTTGCCTTCTAAACATTAAAAATGTAAACACTACGAAAAGAAGTTATGAAGAACTCAATACTGGTTGTTAGTTAAATATATGGATGTTGTTTAAGTATCAAATTCCGTTGTAGTCTAGTTTGTTAGGATACTCGGCTCTCACCCGAGAGACCCGGGTTCAAGTCCCGGCAACGGAATATTATTTTTTCGACTTTTTTTTTTTTTTTTTTTAATAATTCAAACCTACCATCAGTTCATACTTCATACATATCTGTTTCTTTATTTTTATGAAAGAAATCATTATTACTACATCTGTTATTCATTATTCTCATATCATATCAAGATATCATTACCAGATTCATGTAATTATGTTATCAGATTACGCAATTTCTTCTGTACCCTTTTTTCACAATAATTCACCCTTTTTTTGCATAAATTTGCTGTACAATCGAGATTATCTTCAAGAACATCTTCTTCAAAGTTCAAACCAATTCTGCCTCTAATACAAGAATAACAACAAACATAAATATAACAGCAAGACAACATACTTAATTAGATCATTCTAACATGATGATCATCATCAATCTACATCAACATATAACGTTGAAACAACAAAAATAAAAAACATAGTTTTTTTTTTTTTTTGAAAACAAATCCCACCACTCCCAAAAACATAAACAAATTCACAAACCCTATTTCTGTCCCTTCTTTTTCCACAAATCACCAAACATCCTAATCCCAGAACCCTTTCTCTTCCCATTCCCTAATCCATCGTCACAATCATCACCCATCCCCGGTGAACCCACAAAACCACCGTACCCATCAAACACGCCGCCGTAATGTTTATCCATTGAACCACATCTTTCAGAAACTCGTCTTCCATCGTTCATCTCCACCCCACCGGATAAAATGGCTGCTGCTGCATCTGCCGCCTTCCGCCACTGCTCTGTTTGTACTCTCAGCTTCTTCATTTCTGTTTCCAACACCTCTTTTGCTCCTTCAACCTCTTTCAGCTTCTCCTTCAGTTCGATCCCATCGTTTTTACTCCTTTTCAACTCTTCTTCAAGCTGCGTCATCTTCAGAGTCGTTTTCTCTTCTTTTGATTTACCAGATGATATCTCCACATTAGCTTCACTTAGTTGAAGTTTTAGACTTTCGTTTTCTTGTCGGAATGCTTCTAAATCCTTCTCCTTCTCTTCGATTTTCAGTTTCAGTAGACTTACCTCTTCGTCGTCGGAACGAAGCTTTTCTGGTGATTCATGTGATACGCTCGATTCTTTGGTTTTGACCTCATTCAGATCGCACGATTGAGTAACCATTTCAATTGGGACTTCAAAAACATCAGTTTCGTTCTGAATCTCATCTGGGATTTCGTCTTCTTGACTGATCTCTTTGTTTGAATCCTGTGTTTCGCTTGGTGACGACCGTGTTTCAGGCTCTGAAACGACCACCGGCGGCTTTCTGGTCCTTTTTTCGAGTTCCTTTTGAGCTTCTTTCTTTGCGGCTTCAGCTGACGCCAACTGATCTTTAAGAATCTTGAGCTCACCTTGAGCTTGCTCCAGTTGAGTCTCCAACCCTGCAATTCGCGTTCCGAGCTTCTTCTGGTTAATCGGCTCGGAATGTGCACTTCTCGGTGACCGGCGGTCGCCTAGTTTTGGGCTCCGGTCAGTTATCGGACGGTGGTGTAGTGGATCGGAGTCGGAGCTCGATGTTCGCAGAGGAGCTGGACCTCTGGTTGACACTCTCTGAGCCATTTCTGAACCTCTGTATTCATACAGAAAAGAATTGTAAAATTTAGCGTTAATTTTTCAATCGTACCACCTGAATCAAAGAACCCGTATGAAGAATTAAGCTTCTAACCTTCCTCTTGGCATTTATATGAGAAAATAAGGAACTCTTACAGATCTTGATCTTGTAATCTTCAACACTGAAATATATGTCAAAACAGAGTTAGCTTGAAAGATAAATCTATATTTCTACCATCTTTAAGAATTCTCTCATTTTTTCAATAGTTTTCCCTCAATTATAGGAGTATCATCCAGACATAAACAGAAAGAGAGTAGGAAGCTCTAGAATTGAATGTGATTGGCACATCTGAAAAAGCCTATAAAAAGAGAACTTTTTAGCCCTGTTTTAGAACAAAACAAGACCCACAAATCTAAACCAGAATATACACAGGACCCATGTTTCAAATCATAGAAAAAGATGAATTGTCGGAAAACATGAAGATCATAGAAGATGATTCTCACCATGAACATAAGCGGAGAGTATAATTAGGGTTAAATGTGAGATCTGAAACAGGAGTAATGAGACGATGATGATTGAGTTGTTTGAAAATGTTGACAGCAGATTATATGAATGAATGAGTGGTTTGGTGTTTACCTTCACTGCCAACAAGAAGCCTTGAAGAAAGTGAGAGAGAAACTGTTTGAAGTTCGAATTAAAGTGTGATATGTGTGTGTGAGAGAGAGAATCTGAAGGAGGAAGATGACAAGAGAGTAACTTTTGAATTAACCATCTTGGAATTCTCATTTCTTTTATAATTAATTAATTTATGGTTTGACTCAATTGAAAATCATTATTTTCTCTCTTTGTAATTTGTATCTCCCTTTTTTTACTTATAATTCTCTTTTTTATTTTCTAAGATCCCCTATATCGAAACATAAGTACATAATAAATTTGTTTTTATGTTGTTTTAAACTCAATCTCAATTATTTTATTCATTATAATTTTTACTTGAATTCATTACTTTTTAATTTTAGATATAGTATGTGAAGTCAAATTTTCCATCTTGTAGTATATATGCTTACTTTTATTTAAAGTCAATATCTTTTAGCAATTTCTCATTTTTGATATCATTTCATCATTTGTTTGGTGATAAATAATATTTATAAGATATGGAGAGACCTTTGTTTTATTTTGCTAATAACTGATATTTTTTTGGAAGGTATATGCATGGTCAACCAATAAATTCAAACTTTTCCTATTCTTTCACAATAAGTAAAAGGTTTTTTTTTTTTTTTTGGACTGTCATAAAGAAACATATAAACTACTTTTTTTTAAAGCTATTCACATTTTTATTTTAAAGAATTTAGACTTTTTTTTTTCCTAATTCTACATAATATACATTTTATTAATTATAGAAAAAAAGAAAAAAAAAACTCAATGATCTATATGATTTTCTATATTTATATATTTTACCTAATTTATCAAATGTTAATTTTTTATCGACTATCCGTTAACTTTTCAATCCATCCACCAACATAATTTAGGTCACATATCATCGAGTAATATTTACTAAATTTGTCAAATTAATACTATAGTAACTTAACATAAACACATACTAAGACCTTAAAAAAATATATGAAATCTTTTTTCATGTTAAAATTTGATGTATATACTTGAATTATCACATATAATCATTATTTAAAGATAAAACTGCACAAATAGTTCCTGTGGTTAGCTGAAAATTATCACTTTGGTCCAAAAAAAATTTAGGCTAGCACCAGAGGTCCAAACTTTTTATTTTCTTGCGAGTTTGATCAAATTTGCTTTCAATATTTTTATAATGATGATTTTGCCCTTACTTTTTGATTTTTTAGTTTTTCTATTTATTTAATTTTTTTCTAATTAAAAGAAAAATAAAAAATACTCTCTCTCTCTCTCAAGAGTTCTTCTTCTTCTTCTCTCTCTCTCTCTCAAGAGTTCTTCTCTCTCTCTCTCTCTCTCTCTCTCTCTCTCTCTCTCTCTCTCTCGCTCGCTCGCTCTCTCTCTCGTGCGGTCGTTGCCGAAGCCGATTAAATCTCTATCTCGTCGACTTACACCTCCTAGCCAAAAGCTTAACACAAAATTTTCCTTAAAGATTTTAATTCGTGGTTCTTAAAATCAAATTAAATCTAGCTACAAACCAGAAATACATTAACCAAATCGAATCATCCATCGGAAATACATTAAACGAACGGGGTCAACAAAGATCAGAAAGATAGATAGGAGCAAATCAACAAGATGAAAGAGGGAAGGACATAGATTCCACAACCATCACTTAATCTGAATCAATTTATGATGTAAACCCTAAGCCTAAGATCGATTTTTGCAGATGTAGGGATGATCTTCACCAAAACGGATCTCTCCATCGTAACAATCAAGACAAATTCCACGACCTTCGCTAAATCTGGAGGGGTAGGAAACTGTAATTCGCCGACCACTGCCTTCACCTCTATCGAGAAATCCAAAAATCGACATCAAGCCACATTCAGCGAATCTATACTTACCTGGGTTACTCCGAGAATGCTTTTAGGATAATTTGATTGGGGTGAATGCTCCTCCATTAATGGAATCGCCGAAGCTTGGATATGAAGTTGTTGATATGCCACCGGTGGTGCTCATCGATTCTCATGAGGTTCGAGATCAAAAGAGTATGTTCACTAGTAAGAACAACGTGTCTTGGACGATTCATCTTCCCTAATTATTGTCACCGTCATTGTTGTGTTTTCCCATACCATCTCCTCCTTCGTTCTCCTAAATCAACTCAAGATCTCGTCGATGATAAAATCAATTTTAGATATTAGACGATGGTCAAGATCATGTCGACCCAGTAAGTGAAATCACTTTGGGGTTTCCTTTACGATGGATGGTGAAGAGAAACGAAGATGATGGTGATTCGTGATTTTTCAGATTGGGTATACCTATCTATGATGAAATCACTTTGAGAATAGTTTGGTTAAGAGTATGTATGATTTTTATTTTTATATTTTTGCAATTGTTAAGAGAGAGAGAGTATTTTTTTTTAATTTATATAATAAAAATATTCAAAAAAGAAAATACAGAGGGTAAATTCAGGGGCAAAACCATCATTATAAAAATGTTGAAAGCAAATTGGACCAAACTCGCAAGAAAATGAAAATTTTGGACCTCTGGTGCTAGCCCAAACTTTTTTGGACCAAAGTGACAATTTTCAGCTAACCACAGGGACCATTTGTGCAACTTTGTCTTATTTAAAAGGTTAAAATATTAGGAAATAAGCAAACTAATCATTGTAAATGAGTAATTTATTAATACTAACTAACTTTTATAATATTTTGGAAAATATTCACTATTTTCGGAATAGGAAATTTTAGAGAAACGTTATTCATTCCAGAGTATTCAGTGGTAGTGATAGTTTAGAATCAGAAATCTAACACCATACATTTATAGTCAATTACGGAGTGCGACAGTCAAAATCGTACATATATAACTAACATTCCACAAACACGTTTCAGACACCAAGAAACTCCAAATACACATTTAGGGCACCAAAAAACTAGGTTCTCATTCCCTATATAACAAATGGTATTCCATTAAGTTATTAACTTACAACCAAAATCTATATTTCTATATTGTAACTATTTGAAGATGAGTTTCTCAGACAACGACCACAAAGAATGTAACATCCCAAAAATATTGAGTACAAATTTTATTTTAATTAAGACAAAACTATTCATTCATTGTTCCAAAAGACGATTAGAGTCAAAGTATTCTCAAAACATCAGAGCAATTCGTAAACATTTAGTGCATAATAAATCTCAAAGGGATGCAATATGCTCAAGTTCGGCCCTTCATTTTGAAACCATAAGTACCTGAAAACATTTTAAACATAAATCGTAAGCATAAAACTTAGTGAGTTCCCTAAACTATCGCATACCAAATAGATAGGCCTATCCCAACATATAACAAACGGGCCCAGCGCAACATACAAATGGGTCCATCCTAGAATGGGCCCAACCTAACATACAATGGGCTTATTCCAATAATAAATAAACGGACCCTGCCCACTATACATAATAATGGGCCCAAACCAACATATATAATAATGGGACCAGCCTAACATACAAATAGGTCCAACACAACATACATAATATTGACATAACCCAAAATATAAATGGGCCCAACCCGAACCTACACATGCAAGAGTCACAAAGACAGCTAGCATAATCCAGTGGCTCGACATCGGTGCCTTCGACATACGAGCATAGTGAGAAGACTCACATTGCAGTCGAGAAGATAACATTGAGGACCATAGACCCAATAATCAGTTCTACAAGAAACATATACAACAAACATGGACCCAATCTCAATCTACAACCCAAAATCCTCAATTTGACCTAAAGTCAAACTTGGTCAAAGTCAACCATCAAACATTCAATGGTCAACCTCAGTCAACCTACCCCCACGTACAAGATGCTCTATGCCCAACGTAGAGCACAATGCATCCAAACAAGGTAGAAAGGGATATGCGTTGCATATCCAAAACTACGCCCTGTATAGCGCATTCTTGTCAAAATTTTCCCATTAAGTGCTTATTACATAAAGTTAACTATCCAATTCCCAATCTAGTTTGTAACGCCTGTGTTTTCCGGGCTTGCCATTTTTAGCAATGTAATGGTTTAGGTTAACCTTTGTAACCCGTTTTGAAATAATATGATTGTATTATTTGAGTATTATGTGATTTGTGCTTAATTGCTTAATTATGTGGTTTGATTAATTAAGAATAAAAATAAGCGTCAAAATTTAAGTGTAAAATAAACTTGATATCTTTAGATAATGTTGTAGTAGTTGAAACAAGGTTTCCGAAGATATAAAGAATGTCGAAATCCGAGTTATAACGAGGAAGTTATGACCTGTCGAAGTTTCGCGACAGAACCGGCACGACACAGTGCGACGTAAAAAGTGAATTTACATTAGAGCGATATTTAGCCTTATCAATCTAAATGAAAGTCGTAGAGTACGTCAAACCATGAGCGTGCATAAAAAGAACGCCCAAATCTGACTTCGTATGAGGAAGTTATGATTTTTCGAAGTTTCGACTTAGCAGTATGCAACCCGAATGCTCGATTTGAGACCGAGCGGTTTTTAGCCGAAACAATATAAATGAGAATTGAATATCTCATTAATTGTAGTATAACGATAAAAAGTTAGGCGAAAACGGACGTCGGATGAAGAAGTTATGATTTTATAACGGAGTTTTCCTGTCCCGGCCTACTAAAAATAAATAATAAAAATAAAGTCAAAATTAGCCGATGGAGTCTAAACGAAAGTTGTAGAGCGTAGTCTCACCTTTCCGTGGATATAAATAACGTCGAAAACGGAGTTCGTATGAAGAAGATATGAATTTCCGAAGTTTATTAATTAATTTGTATTTATTTTTAATTGAAAATTCGGAGGCATTATCCGAAGACGAGTCACAGCTCTGATCCGAGGTACGCACCGCGTACTCGAGTACGCCCTGCGTACAGCCAAAGTGTCGACACTTCGGATGACGCATGCAGTGACGCAATTCGGAGGCAGTACGCGCTGCGTACTGCTGTACGCCCCGCGTACGAGGGGGTTCCAGCCTCCTATAAATAGGATGCGAGGGCAGCCGGCCAATTTGCTAATTTCCTCTCGTTTTTGTGCCGAAGCTCTGCGGTTTTACCCCCGAAGCCATCCCGAAGCCCCGGTAATATTCCCGAGTCCCGAAGCGAGTCCCGAGATCCCGAAGATCCCGAGAAGTGCGGTTTCCGAGCCGAAGCTCTGCCCGCGAGAAGTTCGATTTTCATAGAGATCTTCCAGATCTGCGGAGGATTACTACTTTTGCGAGTCGTAGTGCTGTCCGATCATCTTCTGATCAAGTGAGTGTATACTACCTTTCATAAACGCAATAATAATACAACTATGGTTTGAGTGTATTAAGTTTATCGTCGTTTATACGTGCGAAGACGTTGTTACTTTCTCCTAACGTATAACTATAAAGTATTTTATACGAGATACGTGTTATGTGTATATTTTGTTGTTATGTGTGTGAATGTATATTCACTTTCTTCTATCTTACATATATGATTATTTCTATATGAAATACGTGTTATGTGTGTGTGCCTCATTTGTTATATGGAAAATGTATTGATCAAGCATGCTATACAGGTTTTGAAAATATGTATAAAAATGTATGTTTTTATCTACTAATATGTTGGGTAGAACATGGGTAGATAGTTGGTGTGTAATAAACAGATGAGAGGCCTCGTTGTTGTTTGATCCAGTCATCTAGCGGAATTTAGATGACGACCACGGACTTTTCTAGATAGTCATGTGGAACGCTAGCAGGCTCATAACCTGTAGGTGTTAATGAACTTGGGTGTTCATTCGCTGTATTCCATCCCCCTCATGGTTGCCTTATTTGACTTATATTGCTGAGGAAACCCCGCAGCATGTGTTGTCACCCCGATGAAAATATTCTTAGATTAGGTCCCTTGTGTTAGTTATTTTAGGGACGTAAAGTGAGAATAACGGGAATGGGTAACTGGGTTATTGTTGGTTGATAATAATTAATTTAATTATTTATTGTGGGTTGAAAACCCTATATGCTCACCAGGCTCCCAAGCCTGACCCACTCAGTTTTATTTGTATTACAGGAAGTGGCGCAAGGGCGTAAGATGGATGAACCATCAAGTTGTTTTGTTTACAAGTCTGCATATGTTTATATTTGTTATATGACTTGTAATGTATTCGTTTATGCTTATTGGTCTGTATCGGAACATGACACCCCGAGTTTTGATTATAATGAAAATACATTTCTTTTATGAAATGCTTCGGTAAACATTGTTTTATCATGTTTTGTTTTTGGGAACAAATTCCGCAACTCTTTCAAATCAAAAGGATTTACTCTGAAAATATTTAAAAGCATAAATGAAAATCGGTCTTTTCTGGCCGAGATTTTGGGGATGTCACATAGTTCCTAATAGCTCCATAATGGATAATGTTTCCAACTTTATCCATTAGGATGGTCGAAACAACCAAGATCTAGTCTTTAAGTCTCAAAGGGACCAAAATGCATCTTTCTCAACTTAATCCATTAAGTCTAAGTCTCCAACCTTCAAATATGAATCAATATGATGTTTAGATGGATAAACTTTCCAACTTTATCGATAAAAAAGTCACAAACGTTCAAGATCTAAACTTTATGTACTAAAATGACCAAAAATGCTACCACAACTTGCATGGCTTAATGAACAAACACCAAAGCACAACTTTCCAAGTCTAGTAAGTCCCAAGAGTGTTCTTTATATCTCAAAAGGTGTTGGAGTTCTTCCAACTCCTAAAACATAAGTTCAAGGGACCAAAAAGTGGTAAATATGACAAATAAATAGATCTATGAAACCAATGAGCAAGTTAGAATCTTTTTATTGACAATGGTCCAGGAATGAAGTAACCTTGTTGGATCTATACTCAAA